GGTTATTTGTCAAGGTGGGAGAAGGTTTGTAGTGGAGTTTTCCAGGGTTTGGTATTACAACCCTTGTTTCTCCTGACATATATAAATGGTCAGGATCATGGTCTGCAAATGACAATTTTAAAGTTCACAGATGGCATAAAACTTGGGAGAATTGTAAAATGTGAGGAGGACAGTGTAGAATTTCAGAAGGACATTTACGCCTTGTGAAATAGATGGATAGAAGGCAGATGAAGTTCAATATGGAGAAGTAAGAGGTGATACACTTTGGTATGAAGAACAAAGAAAGACAGTACAAAATAAGGGATACTATTCTAAAAAATAAGAGCAGACAAAGACATGGCAGGACAGGTAGAGAGAGCTGGTTAATAAAGCATACAGTATTCGAGGCTTTATTAATAGGGACACGGCGTAAAAGGACAGGGAGATTATGATGAGCATATATCATACACTTGTTAGACTTGAGCTCTTGAGTATTGTGCACAATTCTGTGCATCACTTTTTAGAAAGCATGTGAATGCATTGGAATGAGGTTCATGAAAACAGCTCCAGGGATGAAATACTTCAAGTTACGGGAAAATATTGGAGAAGCTAGGACTGTTTTCCTGAAGGCTGAGAGCAGATGTGGCATAATGTGAAATTGAGGAGAGATCTGGATGAGCTGTTCACTTGTAGATAGATTAAGAGCCAGAGGTAAGCAGTTTTTAACAAAAACAGAAGTTGCTGGGAAAGCTCAGCAGGTCTGGCAGTGTCTGTGATGAGAAGTCAAAGTTAACATTTTGGGTCCAGCATCCCTTCTTCAGAACTGGTAAGCGGTTTTAAAGAGTTTTGCAAAAGGAGCAAATGTGAGGTGAGAAAAACACACACACACAGTGAGTAGGAAGGGTATGGAAAGTATTTGCTGGAAATGGATGTGGGCAGGTCCTAATTAAATATCCGGAAGGTCCAGGGACTATCAAAGAAGCCAAAGCCACCTTGCATGTTGACCAGGAAGCAATCCCATGATTCTGCAAGGCCCACCCAGCCCCATTTGCCTGACGGATAAAAGTAGAGGCAGAAATCAGAAGGCTGGAAAGTGAAGGAATCATTAAACCAGTCCCGTTTGTGGAATGGGGAGCATTAGTCATACTGATTGTAAAGTCCAACGGGTCAGTTTGCCTTTGTTCGGACTTTAAACAAATGGTAAACTGCTTTTTGCAGCTGGATAAATACACAGCCCCTCACATGGAGGATTGAGACACAAAGCTGGCAGGGGGGATGTCCTTGTTGAAGCTGGACATGAGCCATGTGTACTTGCAATTGCAGTTAGATGAGGATTCCCAGAAGTATTACACAATTAATACACATAAAAGTTTGTACCAATATACGAGGCTGTCATTTGGGATATCATCAGCCTATGCAGTTTTTCAGCGGACGATGGAAAACATTTTACAAAGTCTATCCCAGTTTGCCATTTCTCTAGATGACATGCTAATAATGGGGAAGACCAATAAGGTGCACTTAGAGAACTTGAGCATAGGTCCTAGGCTTTTCTCCCAGGCAGCCATATGCCTTAGAAGGGAAAAGTGTGTGTTCCAGGCCCTCAAAGTGACCTACTCAGGCCAAAGAGTCGATACGACCGGATTACACCTGTTGGAAGATAAAGTGAGGGCGATCGAAAGTGCCCTGGCTCCCATGTGGGTACCAGAGCTTAGGTCTCTCCTTGGGCTGGTGAATTAGGGAAAGGTCATACATAACCTGGCCTCCATCCTAGTAACTTTGCATCAACTCTTCAAAAGGGTTAGCCATAGAAATAGTTGCATAGCCAAGCCTTGCTTTCAGGGCAGTGAAGAAACAGCTATCATCCTCAAAGGTGTTGACACGCAATGATCCCAAGCAAGATCTGGTATTGACATGCGATGCCTTCCCATAAGGCAATGGGATAGTATTATCTCATAGGTGGCCCACTGGAAAGGAATACCCAATAGCATATGCATCCAGGACTTTGGCTGATGTGGAGCATAAATACACCCAGATAGGGAAGGAAGGCTTAGCATCATATTTGGAGTCAGAAAGTTCCACCAATGTCTTTACAGATGTAAATTTGTAATAATAACAGACAACAAACCCCTGCTAAGTCTACTTAAAGCGGACAAGGTGATACCGCCCAAAGCTTCAGGCTAAATTCAGCGGTGGGCTTTAAAACTAAGTGTGTATAAATATAAGATGGAACACCATCCGGGAGGCCAAGTAGTGAATGGGAACGCATAGACCACCATCCCATCCACACCCGCTGGCAGATAGACCATTAGTGGTACTGCCACTGGAAGGGTCTGTAATGGTTTTAAGTTTTCTGGATACACTTCTGTCATTCTTCATAGGACTGGGATCAGCTTTGGAATCAATCTAGCAAACCTCCTCTGAGGGATGATGTATGTTTGCTTTAAGCTGAGATGTACAGTTAGACTCTGTTTGGAATGAGGGGTCTTCGGGCACAGCGATGTCATTGACGAGCTCAATGAGTGGTTACTCTTCCAGGATTGGCCTGGAGTCACCAGTGATTAAAAGTCAGTCCCCCGGGAACAACCCTGGAGAAAAATGATAGGGGATCACTAAGGAAAGTGGATAGCTGTTAATGGAGACTGTTAGTGGCTAACAATAGGTAGTGTGTAATGGCAGACTATGTGATAACAAGGCCTGGTGTTTGGGATTGGGTGCTAGGACACGGGTGAGTTCAGGCCTTAAAATTATTAAACTCAGTATTGGGTCTAGAGAGCTGCAGGGTCCCCAAGTGGAAAAGGAGGTGTTGTTCTTCCAGCTTGTGCTAAGCTTTGCTGGAGCACTGCAGCAAGCCTGAGACAGAGACGTTGGCCAGGGAACAGGGTGGTGTGTTAAAGTGGCAGGCAGCTGGAAGCTCAGGGTCTTTTCTCTGGGCAGCATGTAGATGTTCTGCAAAGCGGTCACCCAGTTGGTGCTTCATTTCCCCAATGTAGAGGAGACCACATTGTGAGTAGCGAATGCAGTAGACTAGATTCTGGGAAGTGGAGGTAAACTGCTGCTTCACCTGAAAGGTGTGTTTGGGCCCTTGGATACTGGGGAGGAAGGAGGTAAATGGGCAGGTGCTACACCTTTAGCAATTGCAGGGGAAGGTGCCATAGGGCCGTGGGGGATGTTGTTGGGGGTGAAGGAAGAATGGACCATGGTTTCCTGGAGGGAACAGTCCCTGCGGAAGGCAGACAAGGGAGGAGAGGAGAATGTGTGACTGATGGTGGCATCTCACTGGAGGTGGCGGAAATGGTGTTTGATGATCTTCTGGATGTGGATGCTGGTGGGATGGTAGGTGAGGACAAGGGGAACTCTATCACTGTTGCAGGAAGGAAGAGAAGGGGTGAGGGCAGAAGTGCGGGAGATTGGTCAGTCCTGGTTGAGAGCCCTGTCGACGACAGTGCTGGGGAGTCCTTGGTTGAGGAAGAAGGTGGACATTTCGGAAGCTCCCTTGTCAAAATTGGCCTCATTGGAACATATGCGATGGAGACAGTGGAACTGAGAGAATGGGATAGAGTCTTTACAGGAAGTGGGGTGTGACGATGTATAGTCCAGATAGCTGTGGGAGTCGGTGCGTTTATAATGGATGTTAGTGGATGTTAGTGGCCAGTCTATCCCCTGAAACGGAAACAGAGTCGTCAAGGAAGGGAAGGGAGAAGTCAGAGATAGACCAGGTGAAAGTGAGGGCTGGGTGGAAATTGGAAGCAAAATTGATGAATCTTTCCAATTCCAGATGAGAGAGGGAAGCAGCACTGATGATATCATCGATATATCGGAGAAAGATTTGTGAATAGGACTGGAACAAGGAATGTTCCAAGTACCCCATGAAGACACAGGCATAACTGAGGTCCACATGCATCAGATGGCCCATGACTACCCCTCTGACCTGAACAAAATGAAAGGAGTTAAAAGAGAAAGTTACTTAGGGTGAGAATGAGCTCAGCCAGCGGAGGAGGGAGGTGGTGGGTATACACTGTATCCAATCCTAACATCATATATCCAGTACCCAATACACTGTATCTAATCCTAACATCACATATCCAGTACCCAATACACTGTATCCAATCCTAACATCATATATCCAGTACCCAATACACTGTATCCAATCCTAACATCATATATCCATTACCCAATACACTGTATCCAATCCCAACACAAATATCCATTTCCCAAATACACTGTATCCAATCCTAACATCATATATCCATTACCCAATACA